CCCGCCTCGGCCTCCCAAAGTGCTGGGATTACAGGCTTGAGCCACCGCGTCCAGCCCTTTTTTTTTTTTTTAAGTTGAAATCAAAACCCTATCTGACCCTAAGGGTGGTAGGTAAGTGATAAAGGACCTATTGTCAAAGTCCAGTGTAAGTCTAACAATAAAAAAAATTCACAGATAATTTTCTTGCTGTTTGATATGGTAACTACTTTTCGTGCTGTAGATTAAGGCCTCTTTTATTTCTAAAAGTTCTGTGTTAACATTGGACATTGGCCAATGTAGATTAATTCTAAAGTCCTTTCAAAGACCTAGAGATAGAGGCTGCCAAGATTCCTCATTTCCCCATTAAAGAGAAATACTCAAGATCTGTGAATATCTGTGGCCATCTTGGGAATTCTGTGACACTTTTTGGCACTCTGACTTGAAGTACTTAGTAGATTTATCAGCACACAGGAAATTAAATTGGAGGGCTCTCCTCTTACACATCTATCAAGTTAAAACTTTTTGGGATAAAATTTTTAGCAGTTTTAGTACATCTTCATGTTATGAAATGGAACATAAATGTTATTGAAACTTGCAAATTTTTTTTTTTTTTTAATTATAGAAACAGGGTCTCAGGATGTTGGCGTGGTTGGTCTCAAACTTTTATAGGTATTCTAGTTGTGAAGCACCACACCTGCTCAAATCATTTTATTCTGAAGTGTAGTCTCTACAAATTGTCTTTAAAAGTGTGAATGGTAAGTTAAATTCTTGCATGACTTTTCTTTCCAAATAAAATTACTTAGGGAGAATTTTCTCCCCCCATCAGTGTGGGCTCAGATAGTGCATCTTGTAAGTAATACCCTTGACTACTCAGAACACTCGGCTGAGTCAGGGAGATCCTACACAAAGGTGTTTCATTGGTTTTATTTCACAAGGAAACACTATGAAGCGAAGCCATCTATTCCTTCTATGGCTTCAAATGCTCCTTATCTCTCAGCTGTGAAATCATGATAGCATTGTCCCGATCTTCCAGGGCTGCTGTCTGAGCTAGAGATAAGTTTTATTACTTTACCAAAGCACAAGAGGGCACTGAGTAAAGGGTGCATGCATGGTATCTATGTATGTTTATAATTACCATTTCCATCAGGAAGAACAGCAAGACTTAATCTAAAACATGCATAGAGTTAAAATGTCATCTCCCTTCCACCAGGCAGAAGTGGAAAATAAAGCAAGATGCTCTGAGGAAAGGTGGGCGGTGAGATCTCATCTGAGAGGTGTTCTTGACTGAGGAAGCAGGAGACATCCGAGAATCCGCTGTGGAACCTGGTAGTGACATAAGAGTTGGGAGCGACCCCCAGAAACAGCATTTAATTCATTTGAAGGTAACAGAAGGTGAGGTTGCAGAACTGGGTCCTTTTAACCGCTACCGCCCCTGGATAAAGTTTGTGAGAGGAAGAGGAATAAAGAGAAAGCAGACTGGCTGGGTGCGGTGGCTCATGCCTGTAATCCCAGCACTTTGGGAGGCCAAGGCAGGCAGACTGCCTGAGGTCAGGAGTTCGAGACCGGCCTGGCTAACATGTGAAACCCCATCCTACTAAAAATACAAAAACTAGCCAGGTGTGGTGGTGTGTGTCTGTAGTCCCAGCTACTAGGGAGGCTGAGGCAGGAGAATCGCTTCAACTGGGAGGCGGAGGTTTCAGTGAGCCGAGATCCCACCACTAAAACTCCAGTCTGCATGACAGTGAGACTCCATCTAAAAAAAAAAAAAAAAAGAGAGAGAGAGAGAAGGCAGATCCCACCACAGGCTGATTTGGAAACGAGTTTACACTTATGATGCTTTCACAGCCCTTGATCTATCCCCAGCATAGGCAGCGAAATGTAATTCCCTTCCTTTATTATCCTTTTATACACCCTCGGGACAGCCAGAGCTGCTGGCCTCTGTGGCAATGAATTTCCCCTAGAAGGGGGCTTGGACAGTTCATGTTCCCAGTTGCTCATCAGAAGCACTTTCTGGAAGGGGATTCTGCAGAACCTAGGGAGGCATGCTTGGAGGAATCACGAAGCCCCACATGACCCCTTCTACTAAGGACAGCGGTATCTAGCCTGTGAGTCTCCTTTAGGTTCAATGAGCTTCATGTTCACCAGGAAGGAAGGCACATTTTTTCCTCCTTCCTTCTCTTCCTCTCCCCCTTGGGAAATGAAACCATCTGAGGAAAAAGAAGGCTGGGCTTCTTTTGTGCCGTTATTTTATAACATGGGTCAAACCAAGGAGCGACTCTCAAGACTGAGCATACATTATATTCACCAGGGAAGGGCTTTTTTTGTTTTTGTTTTTTTGACGCAGGGTCTCACTTGTTACCCAGGCTGGAGTGTAGTCTCGCAATCATGGCTCACTGCAGCCTTGACTTCCTGGGCTCAAGCAATCCTCCTACCTCAGCCTCCCGAGTAGCTGGGAACCAAAGGTGCGTGCCACCACACTTAGCTAATTAAAAAAATTGGCCGGGTGCAGTGGCTCACGCCTATAATCCCAGCACTTTGGGAGGCCGAGGTGGGTGGATCACAAGGTCAAGAGATCGAGACCATCCTGGTCAACACGGTGAAACCCCATCTCTACTAAAAATACAAAAAAATTAGCTGGGCATGGTGGCACGCGCCTGTAGTCCCAGCTACTCAGGAGGCTGAGGCAGGAGAATTGCTTGAACCCAGGAGGCGGAGGTTGCAGTGAACCGAGATCGTGCCATTGCACTCCAGCCTTGGTAACAAGAGCGAAACTTCGTCTCAAAAAAAAAAAAAAATTTTTTTTTAGAGACAAGGACTTGCTATGTTGCTCAGACTGGTGTCTAACTCCTGAGCTGAAGTGATCCTCCTGCCTTCACCTCCCAAAATGCTGAGATTACAGGCGTGAGCCATTGTGCCTAGTTGACTGGGGAAGCTTTTAGAATAGACTGACATACACTCCCCACTGCACAACAGCTAAGTCAGAATCTTGGGGGGAGGGAGTATGCATTCTATCTTTCCAGTTCTCTATAATAGCCTGGGGTGTGATGACATGAGCCATTCTGCACACTATTGTAGACCCTAAAATGCTACAAACACCTACTCAGTCCCCCATTATGCCTGTCTGTCATGGGAGGCTGGAAACGTATAGCTAAGGAAAGAGACTACGTGTGCACGGCCGGGTGCAGTGGCTCCTTGTAATCCCAGCACTTTGGGAGGCCGAGGCAGGTGGATCATGAGGTTGGGAGTTTGAGACCAGCCTGACCAACATGGTGAAACCCCATCTTTACTAAAAAAAACAAAAATTAGCCGGGTGTGGTGGCAGGTGCCTGTAATTGCAGCTACTTGGGAGACTGAGGCAGGAGAATTGCTTGAACCCGGGAGGCGGAGGTTGCAGTGAGCCAAGACTGTGCCACTGCACTCCAGCCTGGGCAACAGAGAGAGACTCCATCTCGAAAAAATAAAAAATAAAAATTGAGACTGTGTGTGCGGTCCATCAAGGGAACATGTGGCTTCTAGGCACGCCGGACACCAGAGGTGAGGCCCAAGCTGGTGAAGGGCCCACATGGAGGGAAGGATCACACGCTTGATTGAGAGGGAAAGTCAAGTGGAAAACTGCAAGAAGAAGAGGAACTGGGAACTGGGAGAAACAAGGTGAAGATGAATTTAATAATTTTCTTTAAATAAATTTGTTATGCTAAAAAAAAAAAACCTTTAGTCATTTTCTAGAGAATTCTTTTTGCTTAGGGATTCTTTATAGTTCCTCTCCAAGTAACATACTGGGTAATATGTGTGGTTCTGAAATAAAATGTGAGCAGGGGGGTGTACACAGGAAACTTACCACTGTGAATCAAGGGACCAGCTGTGCAGACATTACGTAATGATAATATTCTATCTTTGTGAACATGGCACTTGTGAATCAATAATTTTAGAATATTTTAGAAAGCAGGTTTTAAAAAATCACATAGGAAACGAAGTTAAAATTTAGAGAAAAGTGGAATATTTTATCCCATCTTCTAAGCACCTCAAGCCTAAACAAAACACACAGAATGAAATTTTAATGATGCTTGTTAAGCCTGTTTGAAAACAAATTCCATCTGGCCCCCATACACAGATGTTCAGGTGTTGAGGTGATCAACGCCTCAGCTCTCGAATCAGAAATGCTCAAAGATCGAGGTAGAACTTGCTCAAGTTGAAAGCATGAAGCTCTGTGGAATCATTTCCAACCATCCCGCCCCCAGCTGATGACCAATTTTTACCCTGACCACAGCTGAAAATGTAAACACAAAAAGCATGAGATGTTATTGGATGAGGTGTATTAAAATAAAATCAAAAAATAGAAATATTAGGTATATACACAAAAGCATAAGTGAAACACAGGATGTGATATAGACGTTTCCATTCAAAGCTTAGAGGAGAAAAATTTAGTAAACAAAACCGCTTGAACTTCCTGTGGCCATGGCTCATTAGAGCCTCGGAGTCACTTATGTTCCTTATATCCTTGGGTATAAATAGTCTCATACACAGGCTACACAATTTAGAAAAGATTGATGAATCACAAAAATAGCCCCAAATGTGGCACTTTAACTTTCTAAAGTACAACTAAAATTAATACTTGATCTTTAAAATAATGTTCAAATCTTTGAAGCAACAAAGGAAACTCTTATGTTTTAGAAGGCCCTGTAAGGTTCTTCAGAGATTAGAATCTTAGTTCTTCCAAACTACATTGTCAAAACAAATCTGGATATAGGAAATTGTGGAAATGAAAAAGCTGGACCCTTAAAAAGATTCCTTCTAAACAACAGAGCAGTTTCTGAGGCTCTTCTCCCTTTCCCGGGAGGTCCAGGTGAGGCCGGTGGTTCAGGCGGGTGCACATTGCAATGCACGGCAGCTGTGTGTGCTCATGGGCTCCTCCTGCTGGAGGAGAGAGAGATGTGCATGCCACTCCTGTGGAATGTCTAGCAGGTCTGAGCAGTGTTCATGGAAGAAAAATGTTTAACAGTCTCAGATTTTGGGAGATAGGGAAAAAAAAACATTGAAATCTGGGAAAGACATTTGTAAGCTGCTGACTTTACCTGCAAAATCTAACAGGTTGGATTAGTAATTTTTTTTTAGCAAGTAAGCCAAAGCAGAGAGAAAATACAAAGAAACGTCATGCTACGCATCTGGTTATTTTAGCTTTATAAATGACGTAGTTCTGCTATTATTGGGGATTGATTGCCGTGGTCTCTGAAACTTTGAGTCATATGTCCAATTGTAAACATACAGCTAGTTGGGTACATTTTTGGAGAGAACAGGTGTTTTCTTCTCAAAAGGCTGCACTCAGATGTCCAGCAGAGCGAGATTACCAGCGGCTGAGGCCAAGGCCACGCTGCAGCTGGGTAGAGCATCCATCTAAGAGTACAGAATACTTTCCCATTGAGAGGGTGTTCTTCCTGAGTAATTGAGTCTCTATTTCAGGATCCAGGCACCACAGATGATCCCGGCACATGAAATAATAAGTGCAACCAGTGATAGTTACTTTTCCTCTCTAAATGTGGTGGCCACCCCTGCTGAACGGACGGGTCTCCCTGCATTCTAAGGCTGCTGCTGGTACTGCCCTTCCGTGGCCGTGTAGAAATCATCCAGCACGCTCTGTAAGTAATCAAATGTTGGTCTCTCTTCTGCCTTTTCTTTCCAGCACATTTTCATAATGTCATAGAGCTCATCTGGGCAGTTCTCCACGCGGGGCATCCTGTAGCCCTGGGACAGGGCGGTCATCACGTCGGCGTTTGTTCTCCCTAGGGTGGAAAAAAAAAAACCATGCCATTTAGAAACCTGGCAGAGGGTCAAGCACTGCAGTGGTCTTTTTGCTCCTCACAGCCTGCGACCATGATAGAAATGAACTTTACTGAGCCTGCTAGGGTTTGAACGGCATCCTCCCAAAATTCCTAGGTTGAAGTTCGAACACCAAGTACACCTCAGAATTGACTGCACCATATTTAGAGATGAGGCCTTTATAGAGGTAACTAAGTTAAAATAAGGCCATTTGGGGGGGGCGATCTTAATCCCGTATGACTAGTATCCTTATAAGAGGAGATTAGAACACAGACTAGTAGAGGGGGAAAGACCACGTGAAAACACGGGGAGAAGGCAGCCATCTCCAAGGCCAGGAGAGAGGCCGCAGGAGAAACCAACCCTGCCAGCACCGTGACCTTGGACTTCCAAACTCCAGAACCCTGGAAAAATAAATGTCTGTTGTTTAAACTACCCAGTCTGTTATATGGTTATGGCAGCCCTTGCCAACTAATATAGAAGCTAAGGAAACTTCTTCAAGCAATTCAATAAATTTTAGCATGGAGGGCATCAAGACAGCATTTAGTTTGCAAAAACAAAAACAGGCAAATTTGTTAAATAGAAGCCACAGCAAGTTCTCTGTAATAATGAAAGGATATTGGACTTGGTGACATTTCAGATGAGTCACCCAGATCCAGTCCTAACTCTCAACTTTAATTACGTTTGCAGGGTAGCATGCTTTCAGCTTCAACCTGTAGTATATTTATTTATATAAAAAATTTTTTTAATCGCACATTATCTTCCACAGACATTTTTCAAAAATTGGTTTTTCATTTAATAACTGGGATTTTCATTTACTTAAAGTCAGCATCTTTAAGTCAGCCTGACCAACCGATTACATGCTTGCCAAATAGTTAAAAACTCAGGGATTAATTTGGAAAATAATAACAGTTCAGGTAATCTGAAGGACATTTGTCTGTAGTTTCTGTATGTGCTACATATCTTGTAAATGTCACTGTCTTTTAAGAGCAAGATATTAGCTGAGGAGGAAAACTCATCCCCAATCATAGCCTCAAGTGGAGTCGCTTCACAGACGCAGTTAACTGTTCCAATCTGCAGGACCTGGCCAGAGTGACAGCTCACTCTGACTCTATCTTTGCATATTCTTGACCTCCAGGAGAGAAGTAAGGTGCTCATTACTCCTCTAGAGCTCTGAAAAAGGCCTGGTAATAGAGGATGTTTTTAATGTGGTCAAATGTCTCAGGGTAATTCAGTAGCTGAGCTGTCAATCTTTGATCCTGAGAATAGCTTTAAGGGGTAAAAAGAATCATTATAATAATAACATTTTCCTGCATGACTAAAGGAGATGAATCCTTTAATTATGTGCTCATTTAGCAACACCTATCCTCACCTGTCTGTTTTGCATATTTTGTGGATACCATGTTCTGTAGGATGTGAACTTCTCTAGGTAAGACTGTATTTAATGCAAATATATATACAATATCTGGCATATGAGAGGGACTCCATTTCTCACAACTAATTTCCTTTCCATAGCTATCTCTTTTTCAAAACTACAGATTTTACCATCGGTGGTCACTGGAAGGGTTCTAAATGATAAGTGGTACCTTTAGGGGAAATGTTTTTACTAGATTTGAAACAGAACTTTTTTTTTTTTTTTTTTTTTGCGACAGAGTTTCGCTCTTGTTACTCAGGCTGGAGTGCAATGGCGCGATCTCGGCTCACCGCAACCTCCGCCTCCTGGGTTCAGGCAATTCTCCTGCCTCAGCGTCCTGAGTAGCTGGGATTACAGGCACGCGCCACCATGCCCAGCTAATTTTTTGTAGTTTTAGTAGAGACGGGGTTTCACCGTGTTGACCAGGATGGTCTCGATCTCTTGACCTCGTGATCCACCCGCCTCGGCCTCCCAAAGTGCTGGGATTACAGGCTTGAGCCACCGTGCCCGGCCTCAGAACCTTCTTTTGAATGCATTCTCTAATCAGTGTTTTTCAAATTGTGGGGCACTATCCATTTGGGATCAATGAATTGAGTTTTTCAGTGTACTTTTTTTTTTGAGGTGGAGTCTCCCTGTTTCACCCAGGCTGAAGTACAGGGGTGTGATCTCAGCTCACCACAACATCGCCTCCTGGGTTCAAGCAATTCTCCTGCCTCAGCCTCCCGAGTAGTTGGGATTACAGGTGCCCACTACCAGGCCCAGCTAATTTTCATGTTTTTAGTAGAGACGGGGTTTCACTATGTTGGCCAGGCTGGTCTCAAACTCCCGACCTCCAGTGATCTGCCCATCTCAGCCTCCCAAAGTGCTGAGATTACAAGCATGAGCCACCACGTCCAGCCAACTACCAGTAGTTTTAAAAATGAATTATAACAGAATAAAACCGAAAAGGTCAGAAAGCACTGCACATAGGAAAGGTCAACATGGTTTTATGAAACGTTTGCTTTATATACGGAGAACGTTTCTGTGTATTTCTCACAATGGTTTATGGCCAGTGAACTTTGAGAGCCTCTGCCTTTAACTCACCTTTTTCCATCTAAGGACACAGTGACCTTTCCTGAATTTAAACCCCTGAAAGAAGACATGATCATTTCTGTCTTGGAAGAGCCCTTGTTTTTGAAATGGGAAGAGCCAAGCAAACTTTATAATAATTCCTGTCACTTGAGAACTGTTTATCTAGCACATCAATTTTCCTGAGTCTAATTCTGAAACACTATTTTCAAATATTTGTGTAACTAGAATTTTCTAACTAAAAGACTTCACTTGATTCTAATTGTTCAAAGCTAAAGACAGATTTGTATCATCCTCCTTATTTGGGGGTTTTAGTCTCCATAAAATGATGGAGCCTACAGCATTGATCTGGCTCTTTTAACTAGCCGAGTTCACTTGGATAAATTTCAGAAGAAAGATCTGTGTATACTTCTACTTTCCTGGGTGAAATTCTGGGCTCATGGTGGGAGGGCTAACATCCAGTGTAATATAAATAGCAACTGGACCTGCAAACTCAGTTTGGAATATCTCTTTCACTTCCTTCCTGGAGAACTCTCATTTGCATAAAAGGTCAGAATGCAGCCACAGCAGAAGATAAAGCTTTCTAGGTCACCCTGGTCCCACAGCAGGTTTTTTTCTTCCTGGTTCCAGCAGGTTCTCCTAGCTCTGAAGGACTTCCCATGACGCTGATAAAGGCCGGCATGCTCCACCCCGTTTGGGGAATTTGACTTGATAAGAAGAATTGGAAGCACGGAATCTGAAGCCCCTCCTTTTATGTACAAGTAAAACAACAAATAAAATCCGCTGTTAAATGGCAAGTCCTGTGAAAGAAAGAGAAGGGGAGAGGGACCTCAACCAGACCCTAAGAATACAGATGAGAGTTGGTGTCAGCCTGTTGCTAAGTTAAAGTAAACGCCCATTGGCTTGGTGATCTTAGAATGATCTTAGAAGGCATACAGTTTCATTCTCATCCTTCCCCCTTTCAACAAGCACTTACTGAGTGCTCACTACCGGTCATGAACTAGCACTGAGTTCTGAGACATGCAGAGACAGTTAAGACAGAACGTCGTCCTCAGATGGCACACAGCCCAGTTGGGACAATGTCCTCACTAGAAGGAGGTGGCGGGGAGCAGGAGGTGGCATCTGGAGTGCGTAGAAATCAGCAGAGACTAAAAGTTGGTAAAGGAGGTTAAAGAGAAACAAAAATTGGTAAAGAAGCAGAAGAAGGAGAAAAATGTGGTACAGCCGAGAAAAGGAACACGCAGTGACAGGGAGGAGCCCAGCTGCTCCACAAACTGTGACCGTCTTCAGTGACACAGGGCCCCCTGTGTGTGTGTGTATCAGCAAGAGCCAGATACCCTGGGACTAGTCTCCCACCCAACCATGCTCCTTCCAAAAGGGCAGGTTATTAGTATGATTATTTTCTGAGCTTTGCTTGTGACCAAGGTGAGTGTTTGCAGGAGGACACATTTCTTGATTCTATTCAGCTGGCATTAAGATGCTAGATACATCTGGTCAGAAACAGCCAGAAAAGACGTAATGCTTCAGGAAACTTTTTTGCTTTCAAACTTTTGCTTTATATAAACAAAGCAAAACAAGACCCCAACCAGGACTCCAACAAGGCACCTTCGCCTTTGAGACAGGGTCTCACTGTGTCACCCAGGCTGGAGTACACTGGTGTGATTGTGGCTCACTGCAGCCTCAACCTCCCTGGGCTCAGTGATCCTCCCACCTCAGTCTCCTGAGCTGCTGAGACTACAGAGGCGTACCACCGTACCCGGGTAATTAAAAAAATTTTTTTTGTAGAGGCATGGTCTTGCTATGTTGCCCAGGCTGGTCTCAAATTCCTGGCCTCAAGCAATCCACCTGCCTCAGCCTCCCACAGTGCTGGGATTATAGGCATGAGCCACCATGCCCAGCCAGACTTTTCTTTTTCCTGTATAAAATTCATAGAGAAATATAATCACAGTTTTGGTTTTAAGATAATAAAGATCTTAGGCCGGGCACGGTAGCTCACGCCTGTAATCCCAGCACTTTGGGAGGCCGAGGCGGGTGGATCACGAGGTCAAGAGATCGAGACCATCCTGGTCAACATGGTGAAACCCCATCTCTACTAAAATTACAAAATATCAGCTGGGCATGGTGGCGCATGCCTGTAATCCCAGCTACTCAGGAGGCTGAGGCAGGAGAATTGCCTGAACCCAGGCGGCGGAGGTCGCGGTGAGCCGAGATTGCGCCATTGCACTCCAGCCTGGGTAACAAGAGCGAAACTCCGTCTCAAAAAAAAAAAAAAAAAAAAAAGATAATAAAGATCTTTTGCCTCTTCCCCACTATTTTTTTTCTGTAATTCACCTCAAAACAAAAAAGAGAACAAGGAATAGAAACTTAAACCCCATCTCTGATGATGGTAAGAGACACCTGGCAGCCAGGGGCAGAAGTGGTCTCAGCCAAGAGGAAGAAAATGCACGAGAAAGTTCAACCAACGTGCCTGCAGAGAGGGGGCACTGACGACAGGCAGAGCGGCCCATCCCGACTCACCCTGGGGAGGCTCACACTGCGGACAGCACACACCCACCACACACCACGAGGGAGGGAGGCCAGCACCGAGGGCAGGGCAGTACCTGGAGCCCACCTGGCTGTGCCCAGGCGAATGTCAGAAGAAACAATGGAGAAGCTCCCTGCAGGCAATGCCGGGCCCAAGTGGAGGTGGGGAAAGTGCGGTATGGAAGACCAGGAGTGAGGAGAAGGGCTGAAGACAAGGACCACACCGTGCATGGACCTTGAGGGTTATGCTGAGTGACATAAACCAGACACTCGGGCAAAACTGCATGACTCCCATTATAGGACGTCTCTAGAGGAGAAACTGAGAACACTGGTTGCCTATGCGGGGGGAATTGCGTGGCTGGGAATAGAGTGGGGCACCTTTCACCTTATACCTCTTTGGAGCTCCTGAATTTAAAACCATGTGGCTGGCTGGGTGTGGTGGCTCACATCTGTAATTCCAGCAGTTTGGGAGGTTGAGGAGGGAGGATCAGTTGACCCAGGAGTTAGAAATCAGCCTGAACAACATAGTGAGACCTTGTCTCTAGAAAAAATTTATAAATTAGCTGGGTGTGGGGGCATGCGCCTGTAGTCCTAGCTACTCAGGAGGCTGAGGCAGGAGGACCACTTGAGCCCAAGACTTAAAGGCTGCAGTGAGCTGTGATCACGCCACTACATTCCAGCCTGGGTGACAGAGCAAAACCCTGTCAAATAAATAAATGAATGAAAACGAAAACTATGTGGCCACAATCTTATCTAATAATAAGTGGAAAAACTTAATTAAGAGATACAAGTTATGAGTAGAATATTTAGAACTATACGTAGCCAATGTTAGAGTAAGGAAATCAAAATTCCTGAAAGTAGATTCCTTTGAGGAGCACCTGGTGGGGCCAGGACAGTTTTTCATTACAGGCCTTTTTATATGACTTTTTTAATGTGCATATATTACTTAGATAATAATAAAATATTTAATAAAAATATTGTACTTTTTTTTTTCTTTTTTTTTTTAGAGATGGGGTTTCACCATGTTAGCCAGGATGGTCTTGATCTCCTGACCTGGTGATCCGCCCACCTCGGCCTCCCAAGGTGCTGGGATTACAGGCATGAGCCACCATGTTCAGCCAAAAATATCATTGTAAACAAATTGGAAATTCATCAAGAAGCAATTAATATAACCTATTATCTCTTGACCGAAGGCTAACATTTAGTTAGCTTGTCTTTCTCCTCTAAAAATGTGATTGCTTTATAGGTGACTTGCTTTCTTTCTTTTTTCTTTTTTTGTTTGCTCTCCTTTCTTTTATTTTCTTTTTATTTTACAAAGCTAGGTATACGGCTTCTTTTTTTGTTTTGTTTTGAGACGGAGTCTTGCTTTGTCGCCCAGGCTGGAGTGCAATGGCGTGATCTCAGCTCACTGCAACCTCTGTCTCGGATTCAGGCATTCAAGTGATTCTCTGCCTTAGCCTCCTGAGTAGTTAGGATTACAGGTGTGTGCCACAACGCTGGGCTAACTTTTTTTTTATTTTGTATTTTTAATGGAGACAGCGTTTCGCCATATTGTCAGGCTGGTCTCAAACTCCTGGCCTCAAGTGATCCACTGAAGTTGGGGTTACAGGCGTGAGCCATCACGCCTGGCCTGCATAGCTTCTAAAGTACTTTAAAAACACACACACAAAACATAGCCAGTAGTTTACTGGGTAAAGAATGTATTTTCAGATAATTCCATTAATCAGCGGATTCTCTCCCATAAGCAGTTTTAGAACAGTGTGGAAAATGGCATATTTTGGCAATGTTTACCAATTTCTCTGTTCTCTATGAATGAAGTTTTCTCATCTGAAGTAAATAAAATTGCTTGATTATGTTTATAACCGTAATGCTAGAGGCTCTTGTAACACACAGCTCTGGTGACTGGAAAATCTACTGATCCAGAACTCCGAAAGACATCTCACATCCCCAGTCTTTCCAGGGACAAGCCAATCAGGGAACAGATTAGTTGATGGATTTTGGTGGATTCTTCTATGTAGAGAGAAATATTTTTTTGTGATTCTCACCATTTTTCTATTGGTTCCTTTTTTAAAAAATGATTTTTTACCTCGAATATTTCCAAATCTTGGGCATCGCACATATCAGCTGAGGGGTCTCAGGAGGCACACGGATCTGGGGCTCAAAGCAGCTTTGCCACCAGCAAGTGGCCCAGTCACCCTCTCCAAACCTCAGGGGCCACAGTGTACATCACATGCAGCATACCACACATATCACACAACGTTCTTTTATGAGATTATATGTTTATTTTATCAGGTGTCAGATTATATACATCATCTGACTATATAATCTTTCTCTACCAACAATATAGAAAGACATGTCGTTACAGATGGGGATAGAGATTTTTACATCAGACATCAGGGCTGATGAGAAATATTTTTCCTATTTTTGCAGCAGTGTTAATTCATTAACCTCAGTGTCTAGAGAAGCTGAAGATGAAATGCTGACACTAAAGGGATTTCCTGGGATAGCAGGTCCACTGTGCAGGCAGACACCACACAAAGGCCTTCAGCTGCCAGCTGGTCCCTGCCCCAGTTTCTCTGTGGCTCATCCCCACATGCAGCAGTAGTGATGGGAGCATGCAGACTGTGTGGTTGCTCTGTCTAAAAGCCTTCACTGGCTTGCATCTCAGCAGAGTAAGAGAGGCCGCTCTCACATGGCCGTAAGTCTCTCCCTGAGCCACTCTAACCCCCAGCTCCATAGCCTTCTGCTTTCTCATCCATCGACTGTCTAGAGATCAAATGGTCTAGGTGAGTCATGAATTCATTCATTCATTCATTCGCTCATTCATCCATCAAATACTCACAGAGGCCCAAACCAAGCTGGCCTCCTGCTCCTGTTGGCCAAGCCCATTAGGGCCTGCAGATCTCAGCGAGCCCAAGGCTCCCTCCCTCGCATCTCTGAGTCCCTGTGGCTGCCAGGACCACGGGAGTAAAGCAGCAGCTCCCCACCTTCTTCTGTGGGTATTCGCCAATCCCTAAGCCACTCCACGCAGGCTCCACACCACTCCCACCATCCTACAGGCTGGCCATGTGTTTGATAACCATCAGTTTCTCCCTACTACAGCATTCACTCCCAGGGACACGGCCAGATACCATGGCCTCCTAGCAGCTGAGAGTACCCAGCATACTCAAATATTCTTTGAATAGGAGAATAAACATTAAAAACTTAATTTTAAATTCCCCTCATGCAAGATTTTGTTAAAAGTCAAACATGAATGAAAATGCGAAGGCTCTGGATGAAATCCTTCCTCTTTTTTTTTTTTTTTGAGACAGAGTCTCACTCTGTTCCCTGGGCTGGAATGCAGTGGTGCGATCTCGGCTCACTGCAACCTTTGCCTCCCATGTTCAAGCGATTCTCCTGCCTCAGCCTCCTGAGTAGTTGGGATTACAGGTGCCTGCCACTACCCTCAGGTAATTTTGTGTACTTTTAGTAGAGACGGGGTTCCATCATGTTGGCCAGGATGGTCTCGAACTCCTGACCTTGTGATTACCCGCCTCAGTCTCCCAAAGTGCTTGGATTACAGGTGTGAGCACACCACGCCCGGCTGAAATTCCTCTTGTTAACCATGCCAGCACAGACCATGGACAAAGGGGAAAATGGGCAGAATCTGGCTGTGCAGGCTTCAAGTGTTAGGAATCTGGAAATGCTGGATGATGCCCTCACTGATACCAATATGTTAAAGGGCAGAAGGGCCTCTCGCTGATAAACAGAGGTGGTTATTTCCCGAAGAGAGAGAGACTCCAGAGCACTTATTACAACATCAGTTGCAAAGCTTTGGAAATCCTCATCTCCATGTGGGATTCCTCCTCCATCAGGGCACTGCCTTGGAGGATCCCATGTCTATCCATTCTCATCTCAACACCAACAACCATGCCAGGCATATTTAATATGTGGTGAAATTAATCAATGCAGAAAAACAACGCACACTCAATAAAATAAGAAGGCAAAGAAGTGTCTAAGCACTTTTAGAATAATGTATGCTAAAAATTGCGAAAATCAAGTTCTGGCTCGACATACTTATCCTTTGCTATTGGATAGATGAAGATTTTATTATTTTTTAATGCTTTCATGCAGCTTGACTTTTTCTCATTTATCCCGCTTGATTGTAAATAGCTAAGTAAACCATACCTGGGTAGGGAATTTTCCCATAGGTGACGATTTCATATAGGAGAATTCCAAACGACCACACATCAGACTTAATAGTGAAACATCCAAAGTTGATTGCTTCTGGAGCCGTCCACTTAATAGGGAACTTAGCACCTAAGGAAGAGACATGGGTATCTAAGCTTAAACAAAAAAGTCATGAACATGTGACCCCACACTTTCTTTTTGTTGTTGTTTTCAGATGGAGTTTCGCTCTTGTTGCCCAGGCTGGAGTGCAATGGCGTGATCCTGGCTCACTGCAACCTCCACCTCCCAGGTTCAAGTGATGCTCCTGCCTTAGCCTCCCAAGTAGCTTGGATTACAGGTGTCCGCATGCCCAGCTAATTTTTGTATTGTTAGTAGAGATGGGGTTTCACCATGTTGGCCAGGCTGATCTTGAATTTCTGAATTCAGGTGATCCACCCGCCTCGGCGTCCCAAAGTTCTGGGATTACAGGAGTGAGCCACCGTGCCCAGCCCATACTTTCTTCTTTTGATTTCTATTTTATTTTTAAATTTCAATTATTTATTTTGAATAAGTAACACATACACCATAGTATAAAATAGAGAACGAGCTAGTGATGAAACTACATTTCTCACAGGGAGCTGGTGAGTCCAACGGATGAAGGACAGGCAGACCCGGCCCAAGGAGACATGCAGGGTTCCCTTAAGGAAGGCAGGGACTTCCTTTATTTATTTATTTTTAAAGATGGGGTTTCACTGTGATGGCCAGGCTGGTCTTGAACTCTTGACCTCAGGTGATCCAACCACCTTAGCCGCCCAAAGTGCTAGGATTACGGGCGTGAGCTACCGCGCCTGGCGAAAGGCAGGGACTTCTACCAACCACTTTAAAAATATATATATTTTGCCGGGCGCGGTGGCTCAAGCCTGTAATCCCAGCACTTTGGGAGGCCGAGGCGGGTGGATCACGAGGTCAAAAGATCGAGACCATCCTGGTCAACATGGTGAAACCCTGTCTCTACTAAAAATACAAAACATTAGCTGGGCATGGTGGCGCGTGCCTGTAATCCCAGCCACTCAGGAGGCTGAGGCAGGAGAATTGCCTGAACCCAGGAGGTGGAGGTTGCGGTGAGCCGAGATCGCACCATTGCACTCCAGCCTGGGTAACGAGTGAAACTCTGTCTCAAAAAAAAAAAAAAA